ACTACGTGTGTTTCCAGCGGTGAGATTTCTTTAAATATCTTTTGAATAATGATTGCGATAACTGAGAGGAAAACAAAAGAGTACTGTTTGTCAACAAAAAGCTAAAAGGCTAAGGAAGCTAGCTAAATCCTCTCTTCAGAGCAATTTTGAATGAAGTATTGAAATACAGAGAAGTAGAGGAACTCAATTCAGTTTCAATTCAGAAAAAGCTCTTGCCTGGGGTTGATTTGATGTAGTGTTCAGGCAAAGAATGAAGACATTTCTGACTCCAGAAGAGAGGGACAAGCAAGCAAACAAAATTCTCAAACCAACTAGAAGTGAACAAGTTTTTCTTTTCTCCCAGACTCTTTTGTGTAGTGAAGCCAAATAATCACTCTAGGAATCTTGTTTTTATATAAGGTCAAGTGTTCATATCTCGGGAAATGGGACAAATAAATAGAGTGTGCTATATGTTAAAAGAGAGAAGAAAAATATGACAGTTTTCAATAAAAATGATAATGAGGAGAGTTCATACCCAACTAAGAATAATAAATAAAAAGTCATCTGAAAGGAAATTTACTCTGCGTTTATTGAAAGATGTAGAAAAGGTGTTTCTTAAAAAGAAATTAAGACTGATATATGTAAAGCTAGGATACATATTGAAAAAACACTGTTTCACCTTTAAAATATTAGATTCAAATTCTTAGTGATCAGGAGACCTCTGTCAAAAAAATGGGGCGTGTTAGTAGTTTTCAGGTTGCCTCAGAAATTTTTGATCAGAGGAAATGTAAGGAAAGCTTAGCACAGTTTTGTATGTCGTCGGAAATGAGTCACTCACATTCACGAGAGGGTGCAGGGCTGAATTTGCCCTGAATCTAACAAAACGTATGCCTCAAAATCTCTCACTGGTACTGGCCCTTCCTAGGCCATGTTCCTAATTTTGTGTTTGTAAGTTGGTATGATTATAGAGAGTCCCACAATTTTTATAGGCTTCAAGGCTCACAAAACGTAGATCCACGTATGGAAATATTGCAGCCTAGATTAAGGTAACATGCAGAAATAACAAAAACATTGACATCATTATTGTCAGGTACTTATGCTTCTTTTTCTTAGTATAAACCTGTCCCCGTGTTAATAAGACATTTCAGATCACTCATTTTCAAGGTGTTCTGCAATATCTTCTCAGGCCCTGAATAAGAAAGACAATGAGTTGCTGTAATTGCCTTTAGATCAGACTGAGAAATGCTCATCAGGAACGTTCACGAACAGTTGAATTGCAGCAACACTATTTATACTTCTCGTGTTGAGCATCTATAACGTTTCTTCAATAAGCCATTATTTTAAGAGTGTTTCTATCTTGGAGGAAGCCAATGACAATTTTTCAATAAGCTAAATACTGACTTTCAAAAACAAAATTTAACTTTTGATGCTAAACTATATTTTTAGATATGTTGAGCAAATAGAAAATGACAGTTTTACCACCTCCTGCCAAAACGTGTGTGCCTGTGTTTGTGTACGTGGGGGTGGTGAGAAGGGCAAATGAGAGTAAGCCAGAGACTAGCGCAAGGGGGAAAAAGGCAGATCAGAGAGAATAGAGATGGGTGATCTCTATTATCTTAACTGTTTTTTTATTGTGGGGACACCAGCAGAAAGCAGAGTCCTCTCCATCTCCATATAAGAGTCTTGAGGTCCTTGGCCCCACAATCTCATTGCTGAACAGAATCTGCCTAAAGATTTGAGAATCAGATGTGACAGGGTCTAAAGGAAAGTCCAGGCAGTCTCTCCCAGTTTCAGCAGTTTTTTTGGTCCTTTGAAGCTTTTAAAACAGTAATACCGTAGACTGGTGGCTTAAGCAATATTTATTTCTTACGGTTCTGGAGACTGGGAAGTCCAAGATCAAGGCTCCAGTAGATTTGATGTCTGGTGAGGGTCCATTTTCTGACTCACACACAGCCGACTTCTGTTGCATCCTCACGTAGCATAAGAGATGAGGGTATTCTCCGGGGTCTCTCTTTTCAGAGCACTAATTCCATTTACCAGAGTTCTACCCTCATGACTGAATCAACCTCAAAGGCCCCACCTCCAAATACGATCGCATTGGAGGTTACAGTTCAACGTATGAACGGGGGTGGGGCGGACACAAACATTTAGTCTGTAGCAGCTGTTGACACTTTTCTCCTCACTGGACCCTCTACAGAGCCTGTTGATTGATCTGGATATAGAAATGAAGAAATCTGTTTTAGAAGAGAGGCAGGAACAGTGTTTTTCTTCCATTCCTAAGACGATCAATTGCTTATTTTCTTATGATTTAAAAAAAAAAATTATTGTATTTGCATCTTCGCACATGCATTCTCATTACTACTATTAATATTTTACTGTATTGTAAATAATATCCTCAGTATAAATTCTATAGTGAAGGAGGGAAAATGATGATCACATTTATGTTACTTCATTTACAAAATACGTGTGGATCTTTTTTCCCAGTGACGTAACATGGAACGCCTGTTATTCTGCAATATGTCTGTGACTTATACATTCCACTTTACCTTCTGCTATTTACTGTATGTGTTAAATATTTATGCTAAATGTGAACTAACTGTGTTTCCTAGAAGTATTGCGCATTCCTCCATAATACCGCTTACTTAACGTTCCTGTATGCCATCTACAGTATTAAAAGACTGTTTCAAACGTATTTATCCCTTATATGGTCTTTCCTGAGCCCTAAAGGAGAGATGCTCCTCTAGGCTTATCCCCTTGCTGCTCACATCACTCATTGTGTAATTATTTTACTGTATCTTTAATCATAGACGCACATGTCCTCGTTTCACTCTGACTGATTGATCATAAAGGACAAAGAGCAGAGGCTCAGTCTTATTTATCTTTCTGTCTACCCTCACCTCCACCTATACTCTTATCCTCACTACTTCACTTCTGTCTAAAAATATGCAGGGACAATATTTAACAAAGACTACAGGACTGACTACATATTAAGTGATGCATTTCATCATTTGGTCTGTTAGGCATTATTTAATTATTATTCCTTTTAACTCAAAGAAGGCCCTGCAATCAATATTATAAGTATTCAGTTGTGTAGATAAGAAAACTAAAGGATGCTCAGTGAGATTAAAAGATGTGCTCAAGCTCACACAGCTGGAGTATGAAAAGAGCAACATTGTCAAATATAGGGCCAATAACCCCGAAGACCCCGAGATTTCCATATGCTCTGCTATTGAGTACTATCAGGTCAAGAATTTATCTAACTCTCTGAGTTGTTTAGCCTTATGTGTCAGTCCTCTTGGCATGAAGAACATGTAAAGGGAAAAGGAAGGTAGCAATAAATTCAGGTACTAATATGATATGCTAAGAATGCTGATTAACCTTATAGGGAAATAGATTAATATTTTGTTATTAAATCTCTTATGACTTCCCATTCCTCCAGAAAAACACATCAGTTTAAAGCTTATTACTTATATATTTTTTTCCTTTTTGGAGGGGAGGGGTGTAACATTAGCATAGTGAACTGTGCAAAACACAAAACTCATTAATCTGGAAATATTTACATTGAAGCATTTTTACATGTGTAGCTATTCATGTAACTAGTACCTATCAAGATATGGAGCATGTCTAGCATCCCTAAAAGGCTTGTCAAGATATGGAGCATGTCTAGCATCCCTAAAAGGCATGTAAGTTAACAAGAAGAGAGGCCAGGAGCCATGAGTCAACATTTGAGAACATCCTGAGAAAGAGAAGAATCACCTAGAAACCAGGTCCCTTCACTCAACACTGGAGAGCATTTACATATTGCCCGATATCCAAAAATCAACTTTTAAAAAATATTTTAAGGGGAAAAAAGGTAAGAAAATATAAAGATAGTCAATACAGAGTTTAAGTCTTAAAATGAATACTATTTACCCAAAGTGAAATCGTTAAATTGTCCACCCTTCCTTGGCACACCAGAAATAATGCATATTCTGTCTCTTGTGACCATAAATTAGCTTTATCTGTTTTTGAACTTCATACAAATAGAATCCCACAGCTTGTGCTTTTGTCATTCTTTAAAGATTCATCACTGTGGCATATATCACATTTTTTGTCACTCTTCTACATTTTGGTTACTTCCAGTTTTTGGCCATTAAGAATAAAGCTGATGAGAAAATTTTTGTGTATGCTTTTTGATCAACACATTTGCCCAATTTCCTTGGATTTATCTCTAGGAATGGAATTGCTGAATCATAGAGCAGGCACATAGCAACTTTAATAAGTTGATGTTTTAATGAAAAGTACAAAATATTCATTGATAAGAAAGCAATGACCAGAGCCATATACTGGAATTCATAGATATGACCTTGGATTTTGTTAGCACCATATGAATAGTATATTGAGTTATTGAATTTTGAATTAGTACATATGTTTATTGATAATTTAAATAGACATGTTTTTTATTCTATACTCTGATGTAAACATGAGGAAAAGAGATAATATTGGTACATAGTTTTGTAAGAGGACCTGTATACATTGTTCTCTTTCATTTTATAAATCATAGCATAGTATAAATAGTTTAGTAGTAGTGTTAATATTTTGTGAAATCCCTGGATATATTCCCCTCAATGATTTTTCATCCTTTGCAGTCTTCCCACTCTTAAAACAAATCACTGATATCCCATCATTCCATGGAGAGGGTGCGGGGATTCTACTTAGAAATGAAGGGAGAAAAGGACCCCTGTTGGTGAGGAGAGTAGAGAGCTTGGATGGTTAAAAAAAACCAAACTATCTATATCTATCAGAAAACCAAACTTCTATCACTTTTCACTGCTAAGCTTTGGTCTAAAAGAGGAAAGCAGAAATTACTGAGAGAATGGAGACCTCAGGTAGAGAGGAAAGCTAAAAAAAAGGTGGGCATGTGGTGTCCTCATTTAGGAATCTGGAAGAAAACAACATCACAGAGTTTCATGCAGAATGGAGTGCATTCGTCAGGCACTTAGGTCTCTGTGTGGCATAGGAATGAGTGATGCCATACTCACATGGAAAAAGTGACTCAGAATTGGAAACCTGTGGATCTGCCATAGAGTTGCTTTGCTGATGGGTGAGATAATCCTACACGAATACCTACAGGGTCAACTGCTGAAAGCCAGGGATGGGATGAGGCACATGCCTCATGTGTTCTAGAGAATGTGAACTATTGTGATGGAGGTGGGCCTGGTCAACCTTAACAACATTGGGATTGGAAGGGCGGGGCAAAGAACCAAGCCCTGTGTGTGCCAACAGAATAGTCACAATAGTCACGGATGCTGCAGCTGCCAGCATGTAAGTTAACAAGAAGAGAGGCCAGGAGCCATGAGTCAACATTTGAGAACATCCTGAGAAAGAGAAGAATCACCTAGAAACCAGGTCCCTTCACTCAACACTGGAGAGCATTTACATATTGCCCGATATCCAAAAATCAACTTTTAAAAAATATTTTAAGGGGAAAAAAGGTAAGAAAATATAAAGATAGTCAATACAGAGTTTAAGTCTTAAAATGAATACTATTTACCCAAAGTGAAATCGTTAAATTGTCCACCACTTATATAAAAAATACTGAAGTTTGCCATTTCAATTCATTCTAAGGAGAATCTAACGTTTCTTTTCTTTCCTTTCTTCTTTTCCGCCCTCCTTCCCTCTTTTCTTCCTTTTTTTCCTTCTTTGTCTTCTCCTCGTCTCTGTTTATTTGGATTATTTTCCTATCCTTTTTTTTTTTTTTTTTACCTTCAGGAGATGTAACTGCACTTACGATTCTAGAGAAAATGTAAACTGAGCCTCCTAGTATAATTATATGTTATAGGCAAAATGCCCAGTTGTGATTTGCAACGATGATTTAGAGGGTAGTAAATGACAACATAAAATGTGCGCATCTTTTAAATAGGCAAAGAATCTTTAAAATAGATGGAATATGGATTAATTGATGACTGCACAGTCTTAAATAAGTCAAAAATTCTATGTTGAAGAATTCCTTCACATTCTTCTAAGTTTATGAGGCCTGCTTATCAACTTCAACTGTTCAAAATTTCTGTACCCAAGTACACAGTTAAGGAGGGTGTACAATGTCTATGATCTTTTCAAGGCAATCAGGAATATGAGAGACATATACTGAGTTTTTTTCTTGCTTCCCGAAAGAAGGTCATCTCATGTCAGCAACCTGCTCTGTCAGCTATCCTCTTTTGGCAAGTCATCTTTCAGCCAGAACAAAAGCAATTTCAAGCCTCAGGGTGCCACTTATTCCTTTTCCCCCCAACATTTTGTTATGAAAAATTTCAAACATACAGAGAAGTTGAAATAATTGTATAATGATCACCTACATACCCATTCCCTAGACATTAACATGCTTACTTTATGATACATCTATCCTTCCCTCTACCATCCATCATTCTGTCATGTATTTTTTATAATTCAAAGTAAGTAATGAAAGATTGAACTTCTGAATTATGTACACCACATGCCATAATTAAGTCAATTGTATGCTATGTCCACTTATTCAAACTTTCAAATTTTCATGAATCACAGAATTCATATATTAAAACTCTGACCTACTACCAGTCTATTCCCAGGAAAACGAAAGATATGAAACATTGAGTCAAAAGCAAATTCTCCTACGTAGTATAAATCATATTCTCACTTGGCCAATAATTCTTTATATCACTATATAGCTCTTCCAGGTTTCAGGGATCTTTGGCATATATGTACACCTTATGTGATCGGTTTCTTTCCCACCATTTTATTTCATGGCTTCAACTCATAAAAGCAGAAGCTGAAGTTTATCTTCTGATTCCAAATTCTGTACTCTTTTATTCTATTCTACTGTCCCACAATTTTTCTGTTGTAGATTAAAAATAAAACCCAGTAAGTGTGACTTTTTTTTTCCCATTTTATGTGTCAAAACCCATCCCTTTCATTCTTCGTTTTAATTTTGGCACTTAGTTCATACTAATACCACGAAAGTCCATAGGGTTACTGGAAAATGCTTGAAACTTCCCCTACAAGTTACTTTTTAAATATTCTGTAAAGTGGTTTCATTAATGAGCATGTTGCTTGGAATTATCAGGTATTCTCTGCCAAGCATTTTTAAAAATCACCCTTTTCCAGCACTCTCACAGCATTAAAGATATGTGTATATATTAACTATGCTCCTAAACCGAACAGTCCCCCTCCTGGAAACTATTTCATCAAGATAGAGTACCGCCAAATAAGGATACACGCCTGAAGACATGTATTGCAAAAATTTTATGCAGTGACAAACATGCATATACACCCCCACAGGATACAAAATGAATAGCAAGCAGTAGGGAAGTGTATTATGATATAATAATAGTACTGAATATTATGCAGCCTTTACAAATAATGAATAGGAGCCAACCGGGTCGACCTGGAGAGATTTCCTTAAGGTGTTGTTGACTGAGAAAATCAAGATTCCAAAGAATGAGTCCATGTTCCCATTTTTGTAAAACAAAATAATGATCCCTTTCAATGTCTGTATATTATTATTTGAGGAAGGAGAAAATCTGAAGTTTGCTTGAGTGGAGGAAAGGAACAAAGGAAGAAGGAAAATGTGTTAGCTAACACAAAAAATAGCAAAATTAGAATACAATAAAATTATGTATTATATGATCACATTTATGGATTTATATAAAATTGTACTTTTCATGTATGTTTATAAAAGCAATATTAAAATAATAACCCAGGCTTTGAAAAAATTATTCATGTGATAGGATCCAAATTTGGTGATTAATCCGTTAATAAAGACAGATTCTGTATCATGAAAAAAAAAATCACCCTTTTCCCAGAGAATATGCTGTTTTTTGATACTGTAGACAGGCTGTCTTAAATGTAAAGTTAAAGGAAGACTTTTCTAAAAGATCTTGAGTCGAGTTTAGAAAGCCCACATTTTTGTCAGTGTCAAGTAGAACGCTAGAGTTGGAGATAATCTCCTGATAGAAGCATGAGGAAGCTTCTCTGCCACAGAATAAGTCAAAGGTCCAAACACAACACCAAGACACAGCAAACCTGTCAGCAGTCTTCCTGTACATGCTGGGGAGGCACATCGCCATCTGTCTTCCAGAAAATACCACCTAGAAACTTCTTAAAGGAGTATTTCTGGCAGCCTCCCAAAAGACAAAAAGTGTTCCTCCTGAATTTTATTAGATTGGAAATTTGATGAAGAAAATTGGAACATAATTGCATTAAATGTAAGAGTTTCTCTGGGCCACATGTTGAGGGGCAGGATTTCTGGTCAGATATGAGAGGCCGACACAGAGGGTGGATGCATATGTGGTTTTAATAGAAAGCCCAAGTGTTTCTTACAGGATTTGCAGTATTTTAAGTCCCCGTCAGAAGTGTATAAATGTTCTGATTCTACCACATCCTTGCTATCACTTGATGATATTATACTTTTAAAATTTTTTCAATCTTTTTTTTTTTGAGGAAGTTTAGCCCTGAGCTAACTACTGCCAATCCTCCTCTTTTTGCTGAGGAAGACTGGCCCTGAGCTAACATCCATGCCCATCTTCCTCCACTTTACACGTAGGATGTCTACCACAGCATGGCTTGCCAAGCAGTTCCATGTCTGCACCCGGGATCTGAACTGGTGAACCCCAGGCCGCTGAGAAGCAGAACATGTGAACTTAACAGCTCTGCCACCCGGCTGGCCCCAAATTTTTTCAGTCTTACGGTGGGTATGACATAGTTTCTTTCTGGGGTTCTATTTTGTATCTCCCGGCCTGATATGCATAAACATTTATCTTTTTCAGCATATAGTCATCTTTATTTTTCCATCTTTCTGTCCTATGCCATGCTAAGCAAGCTCTTTAGTATGTAATATGAGCAGTTAGTGATAATGTTGCTGGATACCTTGTGATGGAGAAGCAGTAAAATGAAGAGGTTAAGAACACAGACTCAGCAGGCAGACTACCTGAGTATGGATCATACTTCCATCTCTTACTATCACAATGAACTTGGGAAAGTAATTAACCTTCTGTGCCTCATTTACCCAGTCTTTAAAATGGGCTTGAGAATACATATAGCTCATAGGTTTACTGTGAGGATTAAGAGTGATATCATATAAAAACTATTTAGACAAGTATTCAACACATAGTAAGCACTATGTAAGAGCTGGCAAGGAACACACTGTTTTATTAACAGCTCATACTCTGAATATCCCAGCAGAATAGCTGGAAAAATGAACCTCATAAGACCTGAATAAAAGACATTTGGGGTGACTTTCTCCAAATACTTCTGGTACTGAAGCCTGGAAATACAATGCCACTTTTGCAGATGGTTTAGCTGCCAACTTGACATCAGCTGAATTGATTCAATCAATTGTATGGTAATCAACCACTAATATGGTAAAAAGAAATGATAATCAGCAGTGTGTTTATATTGCTCTCTCTATTCCTTGCCAGTATGTCATGTTGTTAAAAACCACATTTAGAAACTAGTTCATTCGTAAACTGGCTGGATTGTCCAAAAGTTAGCAGCTGGGATTTGCCAAGATAAAAGAAAAACTTCCTCCAGGGCTTTAAAAAACGTAATTTTATTTTTTAAACAAGTTTTGAAATTGGAAAATGGTAAGTTCAAACAATGAATTTAGTAAAGAAGATGTTGATTTAGAACAATAAATGCAATTGTTTAATTTTTTAAAGGAGTGTCTATCTGAAGATGTTTATTTATAAATTGTTATTTCTTTATGGAATTGATTTTACTTCCACAAAGGCAGACTTCAGCTGCCAATTTTCAGTAGGATTATTTGTAAATGGGTTAATATCTACATACACACTTTACTTTTTCTGCTCATTCATTCATGTTTTTAACACTGATTGTATGCTCACATTTTGTAAAGAAAGAGATCTCATTATTCCTATGTTCTCTTATTGATTTATGATCGAGTGTCACCAGTAAATATTAATGATTAGGGCTCCCATCAACTGACAACTTATTCCAATCCCTGAGATTGTTACTGGGATGGTTAATTTTATGTGTCCATTTGCCCAGATATTTGATGTTATTTTAGGTGTTTCTGCAATAGTATCTTTAGATGAGTTTAACATTTAAGTTTGTATTTTTTGAGTAAAGCAAATTGCCCTCCATAATGTGTGTGGGTCTCATCAGTTGAGTCCCTGAATAGAACAGAAAGACGGGCCTT